TAAAGGTTTATAAAGGTATTAAAAAATATAGTAAATTAATATATTAAATTAATTTAAAGGTTAAGAAATATTATAATAAATAGGGTTAAAAAAAGGTATTTTATAGGCTTATAATTCCGATTAATTCCTTAAAGAACTTATTTAAATTTAATTATCAAAACGTTTACCGGTACGTTAATTTTAAGCTATTATAAGGCGTTAGTACTAGTTTTAAACCGTTATAGGGCGTTAATTATATTACCGGACGTTAAAAGCCTTAACGTTATAAAGCTTTAACGTTAACCGTGTAGTTTAAAAGAGCCTTAATATTAGCTGCGTAGTTTAAATTAACGCTAACTACGTAGCTAGAATTAATATTATAGGGTTTATAATACTTCGGGGCTTCGGTGTAATTTAAGGGTCCGATTTCCTCTGTAGTTACTGTATATTTAGAGAGCCTTAGAGGCGCTATTAAATTCTAAGCCTATTAGTTATAGTTTAAGACCCTGTAGTTTATAGGCCTTAATATATTGTAAAGTCCATAAATAAGTGCTGTATTTCAACACTATATTAATTATAAAATTAATTTCTATTTATATTATTTATAAGTATAAATCTAAAATATTTTTATTTATTATTACTTTAGCGTTAAAAAAAAACTTACGTATATAAGTTTATTTATTTATTAATACTATTAAAGTAACTTTATTAAAAGCGTTTATTATTATACCTATAAATATTAACTATATTAAGCGTTAGATTATTAATATTATTACTATATTCCGCTTTACTTTTATTAAACGTAATATTAAAAAGCCTTATAAAGTTATTACCTATAATAACCGTAATAATATTAATAATAATAATAGTGTTAATTAAAGTAAAAATAATAATTGCGATAACGATAATAACTATAAAATATTAAATATTAATAATAATATTTCTTTCTTTTAAATATTTCGTTTTAATAAAAATAATTTATTTATATTTTAGTTTTTTAAATCTCTTCCTTTAAAAAAGCTTCTTACTTTAAAATCTAATTTAAAGATCTTTTATATAAAATAAATATATAATACTAATACTTTATAAATTTAAACCGATATACTTATTAAAAGCGATTTAAAGGAGTTTTCTTTTAAAAGTAATTATTAAAGTCCTTTAATTAAATTAAAAGAATATTATAGCCTTTACCGTATTAGGTTTTATTAAAGTATAGCGCCTCTCCGGCGTATTTAATTACTATTAAATTATATTAAACTCTTAAGTTATAACTATATTAAAATATAATTAATAATATTATATATAAACTTTAATTTTATTTTTACCTTTATAACTTTCTTTTTTATTACCCTTTAAATATTTAATTAAATAATACGTAATATAATAAGGGTCTTTAATATATTATTATTAAAAATTTTAATATTTAATACTTTATAAAATTAAAGGAGGATAAATAACCGGTATTATTAAAATTAACGTTAATTATACTATTATATAATAGTATATATATTAATTAAATATATTTTAATATTTATTATATTTATATATTACGTTTTTATTTTACTTAATATTTATATAATATATATTATTTATAATTTAATTATATTAAATAACCTTTATTTTAAACATTTATATACTATTAAACGTTATTACTAAAGGCGTTAGAAGATTTTATTAGTTTAATATTTTAACCGTTATTATTTTAATACTATTTTAAAAAATAATATTATACTTTTATTTCGGAAAGAAATATTACTTTTCTAATTAATAGGAATGTTTAAAAAACTAGGAAAAGTGGGGCAGGTGACAAGGCTTATTTTTATACTTAGGCTTATTTGTCTAATAAGGCTTAACTGCATAGGCCTGTGCTTACAAGACTTATTTCCCTGACCGGTTTCCCGCTACGGTATGGAAGGATCTGATAACTTTTTGAACCTAGACCTCTTTGGGTCGCGGCCCGGCTCTCACTTCTGTTGCTCATCACCCGCTTTGTGGCCCGGCATTTGTCCTCGGCGAAATCTGACGGCATGTCGTAGACCGTCGGTGTAAGTGGCGATGTGTTGATCACATTGTTTTCTGCCACGAGTTCACCCTGTACACCTACCTATGTTTCCGCAAATAATTCGTCGAGGGTGGCATGTATGTAGTAGGAACAACTAAACAGAAACGACCGCCCGCCATTTACGTTACTACGAGGTCTGTGGAAGTGACGATTGACCACATCTCGCAGGTTTACAGAAGATCTCGCTTCATGTTCGAGGTACACCATGGTAAGCAATGGCAAAATTTCCAGCAGCCACTCGAGCTTGGAACAAACAGGACTGGTTGGATTTATTCTCATGTACTTGTGGGCCGTGGAGCAGGAGATTGATGCAGTGTGCTCACCCAAGGTGTAGCTGAGTAGGTAGACTGACAGGGTGGTGTTGAATGGTATATCGTGGACCGAATAGGTAAGGTAAGAAGGGCCCTTTCAAGATCCCTAGTTCATACCTTAATTAGACCTTCAAAGGGAAGGCATAGGGCTGGAAGGATAATGAATATTTCTTTTAAATGCCTTGCACACTTTCAAAAGATAGCTAACAGGCCTTTCATCATGATCAATAAGCCTATTAAGATCTTCAGTAAGCCTTCAAAAGTGTTGAACAGGCCTGGGAAAATACGTAGTTAACCGCGCTTGAAAACAAGGTAGTTGATAGTCTTTAATAGCACCACTGAGACCTCTCCAGAGGTCTTCAGCCACACAAGTACCTAAGCCGAGTATGGCAACCCCCACTTCCGGGATGAAAGATGTGTGACAACACGTTGCGCTACTATATGGCAGCCGAAAGACGTACCACACAAACATATGAACGGGCAGGTACAGATTCCAACAAGCCACGACATGGTAGAAAGTAGCAGTTGTCTAAAAATAGGAGGCTTCCTGTCTGACACGGACAAGTCCCAAGCCCATACCCATAGCCATAGTCAAACAACACCAAGTCCCAGTCCAAAACCCCCTCTACTCCCTCCGATCATAATCCTCATACCCCCCCGCCAACCTCAAAATCCACCCATCCCCCTCCCTCTCCCCCTTGGCATTCTCCCCTCCCCAAATCACCACCCCCCTCCCGCCCAAACACCCATCAACCCCAAACCTCCCCCTCGGCCCCGGGTGAACCTTCCCTTCACTCTCCATCTGCTCCATAGCCACCAACTCCGCCTCTGCCCAGGTCAGCTCCCCACTACTCATCTTGGGCAGCTTCTCCCTGACATAATCCTTGACTTTGGCCCCTGTGATCCCCCTCGAGGGCAGCTGCAGCGTCCAGATATCCGCCTGAAAGGCTTGCGACTCGTCGATGGGAAGGCCGAGCATGTAGACGAGATACTCCCTCCCGTATCCTGTATTGATAGGCACCAGGGCCCCACCAACCCGTGGCTGAGGGCAGGGAGAGGGGGCAGTGAAAGAGTGCGTTTCCCAAGGGAGGGGCTTCTCCCTGTCGGTGGCGTTGTCGTGGAGATACAATGATAGCAGCTCGACTGCGTTTGGATCGGAAGGGGATTTGGACAGGACGTAGAGGGTGTTGCCCGCGTAGGCCGCGACATCCAACAAGTCCTTGTCCTTTGGCAGGTCGGGTAACGTCGTCCAGACGGCTTGGTTGAAGTCGTAGAACCAGACCTCTCGGCGGGTGGCGTCGCTGTTGCCCCCGACTGAGACGAGGAAGCCTTGCTTGTCGTCGACGAGTATGGAATGCCCGGAGCGAGGAGCCATGGATTTGTAGAGTTGGGTGGTGCCCCGGAGTTTAGTCCAGGCAAGAGTCTCCGAGTCCCACTGCCAGATGACACTCCCTTCGTCAATGGGGTTGCCAGATGCATCTTCTCCTCCATGGATCAAGACGTAGCGGTTCCCATGGGCGCAAGCGGCGTGATTCTTCCTTGACGAGGGGACATTGAGTTCGCCGGTGGAGATATCCTTGGTGGGAAAGGGGGGATAATCTGCTTGGGAGGTGGACTTGGAAGTTAAGGGATCGGTTTGGGATTTCTCTTGGGGAAGGGAAATGGCGTGCACTGTAGGGGGGTACAGGTTGCCGGAGGCGTCAATGCCACCGAAGAGGTAGGCTTTATCGCCGATGACTGTCAGGGTGTGATTGGAACGGGCCAAGTTGCTGTCGTCGCCCTGGGGCTTGTCAAGCTGAGTGAGGGCTACTTTGAGGGGAGCGGTAGGAGCTGCGATGGCCACTGCTGCTGCGGCTTCGACGCCTGTCATGATGACTTGCTCGGCCGCGATGGCTGCTGCTACTACGCCGGCCATGGTTGTTGCTGGTTGACTGGAAGGGAGAGATCTGTTGTAAGTGAGTTTACCAGAAGCTTTGGAATATGGTGCTGATGTGTTTTGAACAGGTGAGAACGAGCTAGATAGGGGTCGTCAGAGACTGAGTGTTTGGGAACCTGAGGGTCGGACGATGACGTAGGTGTGGGGCGGGAACCCTGTTGGCCACAGATGTTCCTGAATGGCACACCAGGTGGTCCCTGCACCCCGTTTCTCTTCATCTGAATGTCTTAGACTCGTGAGCTTTCCCATCATCTCAACCAGCTACACTTTATAGGCGAGATCCAGCGACGGCTACGATTCCCTTTGGCGACAAGAAAGGGCGGCAACCCAAAAAGTCCCTATCATATTCCAGGTGGTACCGGGCTTCTAGATTTTGATACGGTCCTTGGAGTCGCGGTGGCCCCCTGTGCCATGCGGGATGAATAGTAGCCGTTGATTTGCCCGTTCTAGTGCTTCGGGGACTGCACTAGTGAGTGTATCTTACACCTCTACAGCTCTGGGTAGCATTTATCTCGGTGAGTTGATCAGGACATTGTGGCATACAAGAAAATGCTACGGAGGCTCGCCACTGCATGATAACGAATTGATCTTTGAAAGTCTAGGGCTAGAAAGTCGACACGCAACAGACAACCAGCTGTCAACACAGTGGCACCGGCGAAGGTAGCCTGGCAACCACCCGGCATGATTTTTGAGCAAAAAGCGCAAAAAGAACTGGACGTACCAGGATTCGAACCTGGGATCTTCTCATGGAGCATATTTGTACATTGGAACCCTTTCACCTGTCTTGTAACAGCTTCGAGGCAACGAACATTTTTGCAACTGAGACGCCTTACCACTAGGCCATACGCCCTCAGTTTATTGTTACCCTTATCTCTGGTTCTGCATCCTATAAGCTTGAAACCGAGGGCAGAAATCTCGACAGCCCGGCGGCCAGCTGCACCGTACGTCAGGTGCCATTTCTCTGGTGTTTTGTAACTATCATCCCATCGATGAGCGCTGCAGCTGCCCCTTGATTCCGCGAAACTGCCGATGCGTTATTCTCTGTTGATGTTGACCTCTTACCACCATGGTTGCGCTGTTGACATGCGACCGACTTCAGAAACATATGACGCGCCCTGACTGAGCAGCATGACGTGCTGGAGATCGATGGACCATGGTTTACTTTTGACGAGAACTGTCACGGCCGTAAGTTCTTGACAATATCATCATGACAACACTCACCAAACGGCATCTCGCAACGTCGGTGATCATCCAGCTGAGTGGCTGTTGGGCGGTTTGCTTCTCTAGAAGTCAAGGTGAGAACCAGTCCATCTCACCGTCTGACCCGTTGTTGAAGCTACGGATAGAGATGGCGTGTTCTAAAAATTGCCTGGTTGGGGCCCCACAAAATAGACGATGTCAAAGGCGTGCCAAGCATAAAGCCACCAAGGGATGCTTGTTGTCAGTGCCTAAACGTTAGCGCTTATTTATTTCTGGGGCATTTGTGCAGCGCTGGCATTGTCACCGTCGGGATTTTCAGTGCTGCTCTGACAGGACCCTGAAAGCATTTCGCTTCAAATCCTTTGACACTGAACAAAAGAATGGCTGAGACAACGGATGCGCACTGCAGGACTCCTCTGCCCTATCTAAACGAACGCCAGTGTGGTCTTTTGCTTTCGTCCCACATAGCACAGCATTGCTTTGGGACTTGATCCCGCCATCGGGACAGGGGCTGAAACCCGTGTGCATGTGGCTGCTCAGTCACTGCCAGTCAACAACTCCCAGTCGCGAAGGATCCGTAAAGGATGCCTGATCTCCTCCCCGACGGCAAAACTTAAGGTAACACATAGCTACCTGGAAAAAGACTTCACCGACCCCCAAGATAACCAGCCACAGGGCTGCTTCTCCAGGGTCCCTTTGGATGACCTCAGATCGGAATCTTGCCCAATTTATCCCAAGCTGATGTGTGGATGCTGTTCGGGCTGAGCCTGCCCCAGCTGTGTGGCTGAAGCAGCCGCTGGCTGATTGCGATTGGCCATCTCTGACGACACTCGTGTGAATTTGGCCCGTTTGGGGAAGATGACCAAACAGGGGGTTCGACAGGGGTCTGGTCGGGACTTTTTTGCATCACTGCCACCACCTGCCCGCATTTAACAATCGCGGGACTCGCACTTTTGCATCTGGCTGGCTTAATCTCAGTAATATCAACTCTCCTGCTAACCTCCCCGCGCTTCGATATCGCGATACCTGGTACTTTTGCTCACCTCTACGACAGCGACGACAATCTCACAAGCATGAGCAAACAATATGTCATCGGCGACTCGTCGCCATTCCTCAAGCGTGTGCTGATCCCCTTCTGGATCATCCGCATCTTGATCATGCTCTTCGAGATTGGTGTCTACGGCCTTCTCGTCGCTGGCTTGGGTGTGTTCAAGGACGATGCGAGACGGATCATCGACGAGTACAACACCCACCTCACATACGAGGCCATCTTGGCCACATCCATCATCATCATGCTCATCACCCTCGTCTGCCTTATTTTCGACCTTGTCAGCATCATCAAGCGCGCCAGACGCACCTTGGGCCCCAAGTTCTTCCTGTTCACCAACATCTTTCAGACGCTTTTCTACGTCGTCGGCTTTATTCTGTCCATGATTGGTGCCAGGCCCAGTGCTTTGTATGCCGTTATCAACGTCATTGTTCTGTAAGCTGCCTAACCATCTATCCCACCTGTCTCTCTCTTCCACATTCGCTAATCACAGCATCGTATCAGACTCTCCTTCCTCGGCCTGCTCATCTACGCCTCCATCGTCTTCCACCAATACCGCAAGGGCTCTCTCGGAGACGGCTCCGGCGGCAACCGTGGCACCTACGTAGCCACCGAGAACCCCGCCGCCGTCCCCTTCAACCAGACCGCTGCTGTTGACACCGCCTATGCCCCTCAAACTACCGGATACACTCAGGACTATCCCCAGGAATACCAGAAGCCCGCCTTTTACGACCAGCAGGCGGCGAACCAGGCCGGGTATGCCGGGCAGGGTTACGAGCCCTACTCTGGTCAGCCCCAGCAGGTTAGCATCCAGCCACCCCAGCAGGGGTATGAGATGCAGGGTCGCCAGGCTGTTTAAGCTTGTGGTATCTTGAAACTGGAAAGGGTTGGTTGTTTGTTGGGTCAGTTTGGTCTACTGTTTAGGAAATGGGGTTCCGGGCTTTTTATTTTGTTTTTGCTATGTTGGGTGAAAAATGGGGTGCTATGGACTGGCGCAGGGATTGGGAAGGGAATGGTATTTCCCGGAGAGCGTGCACATAACATACACACTTTTAGAAGCGTTGCGATATACCCATAATGATAAATGTTGAGTTTTCCTTCGAGTCGAGCTATCCGTGTGTGTGAATTGCGGCGAGGGGCGGATACTGAAATTACCTAGGGCTGGCTGGGCATTGGTGCCAAGGGATATGTCAAGAGTGATAGCGTGCACGCCATTGAGGTGGACGGTTTTTACTGTGGCTGGTGATGTGTCCATTGAGCAGCATCAAGACTGGGCAGCACGGCAGAGACATGAGATAGGTAATTACAGAGACACTGGCAAGCTTTGTATTTAGCCAAGACAAGGCTCGCGCTGGTCAGGGGCTCAGGGACTCTTCAACACTTTACATGTAGACTTGGCGACAATAGCCAAACCTATGATCACACATTTCTTTTTTTATCTACTTTGTCCACATCTATAGGCCAAAACAGATCTGGGAAATTCAAAACGCCCAACGCCAAAAGCCAGGCAATGCTACTCCTTACGTAAACACCTGATCCACCTACCTACCTACCTAGGTAGGTACCTACCATACCAACCCAATATAAATCCTCATAAACCTAAAAGCCAAACCCATCAAACATCCTCATTCCTAGGCCACTCCCCCCTCTCCATCCTATACGCCCCCCCCTCCCCTCGCCCCCCACCACCATCCAGGTCCTCCGCCGCCCAACTAACACTGCTATGCCCCGTATGAGCCCTCCTCCCAACACCAACCCGACTCCCACTCCCACTCCCATTATCATTCCCCTTCCCCAATCCCCCCCTCCCCTTCCCTTTCACCCCCACCTCACCCCCTCCCCCCCCAACCTGGACAAACCCCCCCACCCCCCTCCCCCCTCCAGACCCAAACCCAAACCCAACCTCCCCCCCCTCCACAACCCCAAACCTCACCCCCACCCCGCCAAGCTCAGAAGGGAGATAACTCTTTGCCGCATCCGTCCCCGCCTGCTCCCTCATGAAGCCAGTCTGGGAACTCTTGAGGAGCTCGGAAATGGTCAGGGGGCGGAAGACGGGGATTTGGTACCTGGTGTGGATGGCCACGTCCCATGCTGACGTGAGGGTGATCAAGAGTACATACGACAGGGGTAGGATAAACAGGAGGTATCCTCTTTGCGCGGAGAGCTTTCTCGTTTCCAGGATGGAGATTAGCTCTTGGGTTTGGGTTTGGGTTTGGGTTTGGGTTTGGGATTGGGATTGGGTTTCGGTTTGGGGTAAGGAGCTGCTAAAGAGGGAAGTGGCGGCTGCTCCGATGGATAAATGGAGGAAGGACTCCAGACCGGGAATAGTCCAGTTGTTTATCCCTTCTTGTGATGGGATCATAGGGAGGTGGGTGAGGGAGGAGTTGGAGAAGAGAGGCTGGGACCCATCGGGGCCGCCGAGGCTGACGAGGAGAGGGGAGGCGGTTAGCCAGAGGAGGGCGGAGGTGGTGGTGTTTTTGAGGTGGGAGAGGGAGGATAGCACCGGGGGGTGGGCCGGGGCGCTGGGGTCGGAGCCTGGGGTGGTGAGGAGGCCGTCGGAGGCGGAGAGGAGGACTTGACAGCTGATGGCGGAGACGGTCGTGATGGTGTTGCCATGGGTGGTGGTGGTGAGGTTGGTTGTTTGGCCGCCGGTGATTGTTCCGTTCAAGGCGGCGAAGATGATTGTCGTGTTGATGCTGGTGCTGGAGGGGAATTTCACGTCGTCGAGGTAGACGGTGAGGAGTGGTTGAGAGGGGGAGAACCAGACTTCCCCTGATGGGGGGTGGCGGGGGGAGGAGAGGTTGGTTGTTGTTTTGAAGGCGTTCCAGGGGAGGCCATTGTTGTAGAGTTGTTTGAGCTGCTGGCCGCGGCAGGTGATGTTGGTGTCGAGGTGGACGGCTTTGGCGGTGAAGCTACCTCTGGTGGCGAGGACAGCTCGGTCAAAGAGCCAGTTTCGGAAGGCTGGAAGGGGCTCAGAGGATGGGTCATTGGCGTAGGTGGTGTATGCTGAGAATGCCGGGATGAAGGATGCTGAAGGGGGGTTGGTTTGTGTGAAGGGTCTATCCAACACGGATGATAGTGAGGAGCTGATGTTGCTTGATATGGCGACAGCTTCCAGCGTAGGTGTGTATGCATACCCTACAAGAGGAGGAGCTGCCAGTGGGAGCAGAATGGATAGCAGAGCCACCGCAAAGATCAATCCCGCGGATACGGAGCGTATGGCGGTCACAGCCTGAGGTAATAACATGATGTTGCCATGGGCAAGAGCCAAGAACCCCTCCAGCCCGCTGATGGTGAGCGGCTGCGTGTGCAACAGAGGCCATAACGCTGCCTCACAAAGTGAAAGACAGATGTACGCCAGGGCAGAGAGACCAATGAGATACACTGCCGTGATAATCCCCTGTATCACACCCAAATTCTCTGACGTCCAAGGATCAAGTGAACGACAACCATTCGCCCACGGTGGGCACTCCAAAAGCTGTCTGCTTGTCACCACCGTGTAGGCAATTGCCACAGCCACAGAAATAACACCAGCTATCAGAGCAACCACAAGAGAGAGGTTCCTCGCAAGAAAAGGCAAGAACCCCAGTCGTCTCGGGGCG